CCAAGGTGATCATTGTGGGGGTGCTGGATGACCGAGTAGATGACACATGGGACTGCTAACCTCAGATTTCCGCCGTCTGAACCCACCAGTTGCTCTGAGGGAGGAAAACGAGGCTTTCTCCTTCCGTAAAGAAACCCACAAGAGCGTCCCACCTTGCCTTGTGAATCAGAATGGCTCGGTGGTGGTGAGTTTGTGTTAAATCTTCATGCATGTGAATCACCGGTCTTTCTCTCACAGAGCTATTAGGTGGACTTGAACCACCGACCTTTTAGTCAGCAGTTAGTGGGGGCCTTAACCTGTGCATCACTAAGGCTTCTTTTAAACACGTGAGCGCTATTATGTAGGAGTTACCTTTTAAGGAAAGCGGGGAGGATGAGAAGGGTGGGGGGCTGGCTGTATTCTGAGAGGACCCAAGGGGAAGACACAGGCCTGACACCCCCAGCCCCCTGCCTGGGGCCTGATCCCTGAGGGCGGAGACCCAGTGCTGTTCACGGCAGGGCCTTCAGGGCCAGCACGGGGGCTGGTCGGTGGTAGATGCTCAGTAAATATTTGGGCGTTGAGTGGGAGAGAGGGATGTCCCTGCTGGTTGAAGATGTCAGCAAAGTAAGCTGTTCCTCGTGCCCTGCCTGTACCCCACTACTGGCCAGGTGGCCTTTGACTTTATGTCCCTTAAGGACCAGTGGAGACAGGGACACTTACCTCTGCCCTTTCTCTTCTCCTGCAGGCCTTCCTGCATCGCATCCGGCAGAATGTGGCAGACTCTGCGGAGAAGGGCATCACAGAGGAGAACGTCAAGGTATGGACCTGGGGTTGGGGGCTGCCGGGGCTGGAGGGCTCATCCCCATTGACCTTGTTGCTCTCCTCCTCAGGTAGGCAGTGCTCAGCGATGTGGAGGGGGAGGCCTGTCACGTGACTGGTAGCTGGCCTTGCTCTCACTCTGCTCCCTGCAGCCCCTCGAGACCTCCCTGTTCAAAGGGCAACCTGCTTGTGGGGGCCAGCAGGACTCTACCCAGCCCCCACCTTGAGGGGGAGCCTCAAGGCTCTCCCTACTCACCACGACCACCCTGTCTTCCCAGCTCCTTGCAGCAGATCCTGGCTAAGAGCCCATGGAAAATCCCTCCCCAAGGCCCCCGGGAGCCTGGCTTCTCCAGTGCCCTCCTGGCAGCCCTGGCCCCCACCCTGCACAGGGCGCTGAGTGTGGGCCGGACTGATGAGTCATGGGTCCCGGCTGCCATTTGGCCTGACTCTGGGGAGTTCTGTGAGGACGTCAATAGACCTTCTGTGTGCTTGGCGCAGGCCTGCTCCGCCCCGCCTGGCTTTCTCCCGTGACCTCGCGGTCTGGGAAGAAGCTGCCTTTGGGGTCTGCTGGGTCTGTTCAGAGGGGAGCAGGGTAGCCAGGGCAGGGTGAGGGGCAGAGGTGGTGCTGACTGGCTGACACCCAAGTTTCACAGTCTACAGAGGATTCCAGAGAGTCAGGAAAGACCTGCCCCCAAATGTCCCAGTGAATCTGGCCAGTAGCCTCATCTGTGGAGAATCGTAAGCCCGGTGTTCTGGAAAAGGAAACTGAGGTTTCATTATGTCAAGAGACCTGCCTGAGGTCACCCCATGACTGCTCCCTAGGGTATTGGGGTTTAAGTATTTTGTACGCCCATTCGGTGCAAGGCATTGGACACATCGGCTCAGGATCTCTTGGAAGGGTGGAGAAGCAAAGCGGTAGCTCTGAGGGTGATGGTGCTCCTGCCCCGAGCCGTGGTCTTTCCAATCACTTCCATGAAAGTGAAAACTGGACAACGGATTAGAAGACCAAAGAATTGATGTGGGTGGATTAGGGTGTTGGTGAAGTGGACCATGGCCGGCCAGATCAAATCGCTTTTGGAAGAAGGCTAGCTGGAACAGAATACTCCTTCGAAGCGAGCAGGGTGAGACTTCGTCTCACACATCTCGATTGAGTCAGGGAGGACCGGTCCCTGGAGAATGACATCATACTTAGGTGGCAGGCCAGCGAAAAAGAGGAAAGACCCTCCTGAGATGGATCCACCCAGGGGCTGCAGCCCTGGGCTCCAGTGTAGCAGCCATGGCGAGGCCGGGGCGCTGTGAGGCATCTGACTGCCCCCACAGCAACCTGCACCCGTCCAGTCACGTACTTTCTCAGTCAGGAAATATGTTCCGAGCACCTGTTTATCTGTTGCCATTTACAATGTATTGCAGCTTTAAATGATAATGTACTATAACGTGCAAAATGACTTTTATTATTGAGCTATCCCAGTAAAGGGCACCACTCAGACTCATTGCCATCGGGTGGGTCGGTGATGACGTAGAGCAGCCCTAGAGGACAGGGTGGCACTGCCTCTGTGCGTTTCCAAGACTGTGACACTTCACAGGAGTAGAACGCCTCGTCATGCTCCCGTGGTTTCGAACTGTTGACCTCGTGGTTAGCAACCCAGTACGTGAGCCACTATGCCACCAGGGCTCCAGTAAAGGGCAGAGATGGATCCCAAATAACCAGCATGATGCTTTTCCCCACGTGACTACACCTGGGTAACCATGATGAGGCGAGGACAGAGAACATTTCACACCCCTAGTAGGCTCCTCGCTGCCTCCTACCAGCCTGCACCTCCTCCCCAATAGTGCCACTGGTTGGCTGGGCCCGTTGGCAAGCCCTGCATACCAGCTCATCCCTGTCCAGCAACTTCTGCTCGGCATAATTCCTGTGAGATTTGTCATGTTTCTGGATATAGCTGTGACCCATCCTTTTTCATTGCAGTGTAGTATTCCACAACACGGGCATACCACAACCTCCTTATCTATTTTCCTGTGTATGGCTCTTTGGGATCTTTCCAAGTGTGGGGGAATGTTGGACCATTCTTGTACCTGTCTTTTGACAGTACATGGATTCTCCTGGCATTTGGGTTCCCACTCAGGAGACAAGCATTTGTTGGTGACTGCTGCCATTCTTTCTTCGAGTAGAGCCTGTTAGGTACACTTTTAACGTAAGCACTTTCAGCCTTGTGGGCTCGATCAGGAGAGCCAGGCACTGACCACACAGTGAGGGTGCGTTTTCCAGCCCCTTCATATGACCAGCGTCTCCCGGGGTGACAAGGAGAGAACATAGGGTCTCTGGCTACCTTGGGCTCTGCAGCAGTCAAAAAGTGACCTCCCTCAGGCCACCTCACTCTGCAGACTTTGTGGGTGCATTCTAAGGACCCATGAGATTGGTCTTCATTTCCTCAGCACTTGGCTCCGATGTCTCTTTCTCAGAGTGGCTGTCCCTGGACTCTGTATTTAGAATTGGTAAATTTCTTGTCTCTGCCCTGCCCAGGATCCCCTTGCTGTTGTATTGGTGTCTTAGATATCTACTGTTGGGGTAGGGCGCCCCTGAGTCGATGTGAGCTCCCAGTGACCCTCGGTGACAGAGGAGCACTGCCCCATAGGGTTTCCAGCATGGTCATCTTTGCGGGAGCAGACCATAGGTCTTTTTTTTTTTTTTTTTTTTCCATGGAGTGGCTAGTAGGTTTGAACTGCTGACCTTCTGGCTTCTGGTCGAGGGCTTAGCCATTGTGCCATCAGGCCTATGTGAAGTGAGGCTCGTCCGTTGCCGTCAGGTTGCCTCAGACTCATCGCAACCCTCTAGGACAGGATAGAGCTGCCCCTGCGTTGTTGTCTGATGCTGCGATCTTCGCGGGAGCAGTTCACTGTGTCATGGTCATCTTTTTGTTTTAACTCTGGAGTGGGCTCAAACCTCTGACCTTCTAGTTAACAGCCAAGTGTTCTTACCACTGTGCCACCACAGCACCTCATAGTGAGAACTTGTGGCCACAGACAATAAATACTGTCACATTCCTAACAGTGCAGGCATTCTTTGTGTCCCCCTCCTCTCCCCACCCCTGTTTGTATTAGTGGTAAACTGGTCCCCATGCATGAGAATGTCCCTCTTTCTTTAATCATTTTATCCATCCATCCATTGTGTCAAGCACATTTGTACGCTTGTTGCCATCATCCTTCTCAAAACATTTTATTTCTACTTGAGTCCTTGGTCTCAGCTCCTCATTTTTCACCCTCCCAAACCCTTGATAATTTAGAAATTATTAGTATTTTGTCATGTCTTACACTGTCTGATGTCTCCCTTCACCCACTTTTCTGTTGTCCATCCCCTAGGGAGGGGATGATGTAGATCCTTGTGATCAGTTCCCCCTTTTTCCACTGGATCCTCACCCACACCAGAAGCTGTGCACTTTGCTTTGTTGATTCAGTTTTGTTTTCACACTTGAGTTCGCTCTCTCTCTCTCTGCCTCCGTTGGGAGAAAGCCGGAGCTCTACGCCCACAAAGAGTTGCAGTCTCAGGGACCCACGGACAGTCCACCCTGCCCTGTTGGTCATCGCGAACCGGCCTGGACTCCGTGGCAGGGAGTTTGGGTTTTGCCTGCACTAATGCCAACCCTCGCCTGCCCCGTCCTCACAGATCCTGTTCTCTAACATCGAAGACATCCTGGAGGTTCACAAGGATTTCTTGGCTGCCTTGGAATATTGTTTACATCCGGAGCCCCAGTCTCAGCACGAACTTGGGAATGTTTTCTTGAAATTCGTAAGTACAATGCCCCGGCCTCTATCACACTTGGCAGCTCTGGGGAAGTGGGCTTCTCCCTTGGTGCCTGCACTGCCCCCCTCTGCCAGCTTCCTTTGCAGCCTGTCTGGGAGGTCTCAGCCTCCCAGGAACAATGGAAGCGCTTGGGACCAGGCAGGCTCTGGAATTTTATTTTAGCTGCAATTCTCTGTCTCACTGTCAGATTGAATGCGGTCTCCCTTCCCTCAGGGCCCCTCCCTGACTGACCGCTTCCAGGGCCTCCCATGACCCCTGGCTTGGCAGAGCCTTCTGCACAGGAAGACCAGAGGCAGACTCTAATGGCCAGGAGGATGGGCTCAGGCTCAGGCTGACATGGGTATGAGTCGTGGCTGGGTTACTCACTGGCCAGCAAGGGCCTCTGGCCCTTGGGTGCTTTCCCCAAGTCGAGTGGGACTTTGTTCATTGCTCTGCCCCAGCATGGAGATCGGAGTCAGGCCCACACTGCTGTGCCTGCCACTCGATCGGCAGGGCATGAGAGGAGGCTGATTCAGTTCAGAGTCAAAGTTCTGTTAGTGTGAGAGCTGGGTTTATTTTAAAGTTTATTATTTATTTTCTAAGAGCTGGGTTTTGACTCTCTTGAGGGTGGTGGCTCAGTGCTAGAAATCTCTTTCACGTGGAGACCTGGGTCCAGTTCCCACCCAGCGCACAAAGGGCAGCTGCCCCTTGTCTCTCAGTGGAGACTTGCATGTTCCTGTGATGCCAATCAGGTTTCAGCACAGCTTCCGGACTAATAAAGATGAGGGAGAAAGGCCTGGTGATCTGCTGCCGAAATCCAGCCAATGACAGCCCCGTGGATCACAGGGTTGCCTATGGGATCACCACTGTGAGCTGGATCAGCTGACAATAACCACAGGCAAAACCCAGGGTTTGTCGGGTGCAGTAAACACACGTACTAAGTCTGTCGTTTTTTCACTCAGCATCTGCTTACTCCTAGTTTAAACTTTTAGAATGTGATTCACTTAAAAAACAAAAAAACGCAAATTGTAAAACAACTTGAAAAAGGAAATGTCTGTCATGTTTAGAAATGAAAAATGTGTGTTGCTTGCTATATATAGTGACACCCGAAACAAAACAAAACCCCTTAACAAACAAAGCAAACCCACGCTGTCAGTCTGAATCAGGGATCGGGGAGCCTGTTTTTCTGCCCAGGGGGGTCCTTTGGAGATTTATAACATCATTCATGGGTCACACGGGTCAGACATTAAATTAAATTAACTCCCCCCTCGTGTGATGGCTGGGAGGGCGTTGCTTTAGTGAGGAGGCTGGTGACATTGGTGTTGCGGATTGCTGGGGCCTTATACAGTGGAGGCGCAGCAGAAAAGAGGAAGGCTCGCAAGGAGATGGACTGACGCAGGGGCTGCAATAAGGGGCTCGGGCCTGGGAACCATGGTGAGCCTAGAGAAGGACCGGGCGGTGCTTCCTTCTGCTGTGCCCTGGGTGGCCATGGGCTGGTGCGGACTGGGCGGCACCTGACCACATGCAGCCTGAGGTCCTGACGCTCCCCACCCCCTCTTTAAGGTAACTCTGAAAATAAGTAAGAGAAATCAAATTGTGTTGCCTATTTTGGCTAGAAACTCTTGCCCACCTAAGGCACTGAGCCCAAGCCTGTCCTAGGCTTCCGGTTTTCCAAATGACAAGCAAAAGGAGATGAACTTAGTGGCCTGGATTACTCTTCCTTCCTCCTGCTTGCTGTATTGGAACAATAGAGACAGGGGCCTGCTTCCTTAGGTGGGAGTCAGTGTCTCTTCATTTAAAACCGTCTAACCCAGCTCCCCTCACCCACTCCTCCTTTGCGTACTCCCTAGGCTCCTGGGGTGTTGCTAGCAGCCTGTAATTCTGCTTTGAGGTTTTTAAAAGCCGCCCCGGGTGTCTTGGGGTTCCGGAAGCTGAGGCTGAGGTGTGTATGGGCAGGTGGATTATGGGAGGCAGCTGAAGTTTGCACCTCTGCACCTAGGCTTTCTGGAACTGATGTGGCCTGTCACTGGCCTCCAGACGTTTCAGGGGTTGGGGGTGGAGAGCTTCAGGCAGATGGCTTCCTCAGCTGAGGGTAGCTCCTGGGAGGCATTTGGGCCGAGAGCCGTTGGCAGCCAGCCTCAGCCTCTGGGGCAGTGGGACCACCGTCTCTGGAGGCCTCACCCATAGCTCCTACCCTCACCCAGCGCCAGGAAGGGACTCCTGGGTGCTGGCTGGTTCCGGGCTCATGTAGGTTCTGTTTGGGATGCCCAGGGTCCAGGAAGCATCAGGGTGGCCAGGTGGTAATCAGAAGCAGAACCCATAAGACAGGGACAGTTGTCCAGGAGAGGAAGACACGGCGGGGCCTGGCCGACAGACCAGCCCAGGGGCACCACCTAGCCCGCAGCAGGGAATACCTGCTCCCCCAGACCAAAGCAAAACCCCAAACCCAAATCACTGCCAGGAGTCAGTGCCAGCTCCCAGCAACGCTACAGGACAGGGTAGAACTGCCTCTGTGCGTTCCTGAGACTGCCGCTCTTTACCGGTGCAGCAAGCCCCACATTCTCCTTCAGAGCAGCGGGTGGTTTCAAAGTGCCGACTTATGATGAGCAGCCACACTTGTAGCCACTCCCCCACCGGGACTCCTTTTGGCATCTCCTTACGCTAAGAAAAAAGCCACGCGCTGGACGGGGGACTCCCTCGCAGAGTAGAGACTCAGATTCCACGCTCCCCTCCCGCTGTCTTGGGCTCTCTGGCTGTGGATCAGGTGGCTTGGAGCAGCCAGTGCCACCCTGGGCACTGTGGACAGCATCTGCCCCTCTGACAATCCCGAGGCCTTCCCAGGGGTGAGGCTCCCTCCCCTAGCTGTCCTCTGCGGGCAGTGGTCCCCCTCCCTTGATTTCTTCTCCTTCACACCCACAGCCTCGAGCTCCTCATTTTCCCCCACCTCTGGATGCTCCCAGTGCTGCTGGTTCATCTGACCAAACACCCACAGTCCTGTGCAGGCTCCCGGAGGCTGCCCCTGGAGGCCGCGGCTCCCACTTCTCTGTAGGGGCCCAGACAGGCCCACCCTGGGGCAGGGTGCCAAGACAGGCCAGATCGTAAGGAGGACAGAGTGAGTGGGCGGGGCCCAGTTTCCAAGAGCAGGGGATGCTGTCATTGGCTAAATGGCACTTCTCCAAGAGCCCCAAGCCTTGACCTCTGCCCTTTCTGCAGCCTGAAGGAGAGGTTGACCTGGCAGAGCGTGTCAGAGAGGGGGCTCAGGGGATGGGTGGGTGAGGAATGGCAACCCTGTGGCCACCTGGCCATTGGTGACATCCATCATCCATCACAGCACCCGGGTCTGGGCTCCCCGTGGAGCCCCGTAACCCCTGTCACCAGGGTCCTGCCGGTAGTGCCCCTTGATTGGGGTTGGCAGGGGAGAAGAAACAGACTCATCCTTGATTCCTGGCTCAGCCTTCCATGGTATAGGTGGAAGCAGACAGGGAGGCCCGTTCCCTCGTCAGGCTTGGGGCCACTTCGTTTCCCCTCTCAAATAGGCTTAGGCAAAAGGAATTTTCTTGGTACAGACAAATGAAATGTTCGGTGGGTGGGATTGGCATCAGGCGTAGCTGGATCCAGCACCCCAAATGGTGTTCTCAGGGCGTGTTCTCTCTCTGTCTCTGAGCTCGCCATTTCTCCATTAGCTTCCTTCTTGGGGGCGGGGTGAGCACATCTCACGCGGTGGTAGGGTGGCCTTCACCAGCGCCAGCTGACACCCTGCCGGCTCATCACTGATAGACAGTTCAATGAGAGCCCCTGTTCCCAATAATTGAGACATGAGTCCTTGTGGGCATTTATCGGCCCAATTTGCGGCATGGGGCCACTGTTGCCAGGATAAGGAAGGCTATGATTGGCTTGCTGTGGGGCACGTGCTCAGCTGGCTTATGCTGAAGGCAAGGCAGGTCTCCGGAAGTGGAATAGGTGCTGGGGGTGGACAACAGCAAACGTTCTAGATCAGGGGTCGGCACACTTCCACTCCCGAGCCATGGGCAGCTCTTTCAGTACACATTGCTCTGAAGTAGACTGAAAAAAAAAAAATATCTAAAGGCTATTTATTGTTCAGTTAGTGGTGCTTTCATTTGTTTGTAAAGCATGTATTTATGGCTCTTGAATCATTTTCAGGTTGTTGTGAGGGACAGGCTAGGCTTTTCTGTCTCACATTCGCTGACCCTTGTTCTAGACCAGCGGTTCTCAACCTGTGATGAAGTTGCAATGAAAATAATGTTATGGTTGGGGGGTCACCACAACATGAGGAACTGTATGAAAGGGTCATGGCATTAGGAAGGTTGAGAACCACTGCTCTAGACCAAGAGCTGAGGCTGTGGGGTAGCTAGGTCAGCCTGGGGAGCGATGCGGAGCTGGTTTGAGGAGCCACTGGGCCCTTCTCAGGCCCTCCCTCTGTTTGCTGGCTTTCTCTTACCAAAGAGCCATGACACCAGTTCAAGGCCTGGCCCCATGGCCCCGTTGGCACCCTGGCTGTCACCTCAACAGATGAAAACCCTGCCCCCGGGGGGCTTATGGCTCGGGAGTGGAAGTGTGCCGACCCCTGATCTAGAACTTCAAGGAGGGCTAGGAATGGGGGCCCGGGGAATGCGCAGGGTGGGGCTGTTGGCTGCAGAGACAATTTATCAAGGTCTCCTTACACACAACCAGACCCCTTCTGTTTTTCACCTGCTTGTATTCAGAGCCTGTCCTCTCTCTACAGCCTTGCAGGCCTTCTCTGCACAGGTGCCAGGTACAGGTTGGGTCCCACTGCCTAGAGAAAAGCTCCTTCTCACTAGCCTGTAGCACACCTTCCCACGGTGTGTGGCTGAGTCCGTGGCTCCACATGTTTACGTCAGACCCCCCCCCCCATTGTTTTACCTATGACCAAATAATCTCTGTAGTTCAGACTTCTCACCCTCCTGGTCCCCTGGTGCATTAGAAACAAGTGGCAATGGAACAGGGGCTGCTGGGGGGCTCCTGGGGGCATCCTCTCCTCCTCTGCTCTTGTGTGTGTGCATGTGTGAGCATCTCAAGTGGCTGTAGACAGAAGGAGATTGTGACTCAGGACTCGGTGTGTGCTGGTGTTGATGTTTGGAGCTGATGTTGGCGTTGGTTTTTGGAGCAGATGGCTTGTGTGTTATGTTTAAAATCATTTGGTGATCTCTCAGTGTGCATTAGAGTGATGCGTGTCCCATGATTTGTATGTGTATGTGCACCTGATATTTGTGACATTGTGTTGTGACTTTAATTCCTGCCGATTCATGTATCTTTGTGTTAATAACTAAAACTTACAGGAATTGTTCTATGTGTGACACACACATGTATATTCATATAGATGGCGATTTTTCTCCTCCAGCAGCCCAGTCGTGGTGAGGTTGGTGGGACGTCTGTTATGTCCATTTTATATACAAGGAAACAGATTATGAAGAGGTGAAATCCCTGTTGGAGGCCACCCACTCTTAGAGAAGGTGGAGCTGGGTGCCTAGGCACCTGGTAGGTAGTGCTTCTTGGAATGTAGCCTGTGGGATGGTCTAGACTTGTATCCTGGGCTGTGACCTTGAGCAGGCCATCAGCATAGGGGCTGACGGAGTTTGAATCCTGGTTCTGACACGTCACTAGCTGTGAGATCCTGGCCAAGTGACTCTACTCCTGTGTGTCTTCGTTTTCCCATGTGCTCAATGGACTGGCTCGTGTAATTATCACCTGAGACAGTCGGGGGGAGTGGATGAGTTCACTCTCGTGTGAGAGGTCAGTACAGTGCAGACACACGTGTAGGCCGGCCTCAGCTCTGGCCACTAGTACTTCGTCCCAAAGCGCTTGAGCACCGGCAGCCTCCAGAGGGGAGTGGGGGTGGGCTGGGGGCGGACCGTTGATTGAATCTGAAACCATTTTCCTCTCCTTTGGTTTCCCACTTCCGGCCACCACCCACCCTCCCTCCGGAAGGACAACTGGGGCCTTGTTTAGAGCTCTGCAGACCCACCTCTTCCTTCCGTAGCTTTTTGGGGTCTCCTGCGCTCACCCCCCCACCCTCCCCACCCCCACCTAGCCTGAGGTCACTGACCTTCAATGCTTCCTTCCCCAGTGGCCTCACCCAGGACATCCTTGCTTGATGGGGGACGGGGAGGAAGGTGGCATTCTAAGAGTCTTTCCAAATGGAGACTGCTCAGTGGAGGTCTTTGGGCTGAGAAGGCTCTACCCTTTCTAATTCCAGAAGCCTGGCTGATGGTTACAAGCCTGGTGACCTACAGGTGACTTCCAGGTTTGTGGTACCCGGAGGTTAACAGAGGCGTCTTTCTGCCTCAGGACAGTTGGTGTTGTGGGGGCAGTGACCAGACAAGGGCTTGTTCCTGCCAAATCCTGAGCCTGGGTTCACCGACACACCGTATGGTACATGGCAGGTGTGCAAAGTACGTTCTTTAGCAAGAATTTACTGAGGTTCTGGGCACTGTGCCAGGATCAGAGAAGAGTCCAGTGAACAAGGCAGTTGTGATCACTGCCATCAGGGTGCTGACTGTCAAGTGGGAAAAGACAGATGATACACGCTCCAGACAATTCCATGAGGAAAACCAAGGCAGGTGGAGGGTAGAGAACACCTGCATGGCTGCTCTAGCGGGGGCAGCCTAAGGGTCATTTGCCTTGTAATCTGAATGGTTGGGCGTAGCTAGACTTGGGCGAGGAGTGCTCTAGGCAAAGGGAATGGTAGGTGCAAGGGCTCTGGGGTAGGACCCAAACCCATGGCCACGGAGTTGAACTTGACTCATAGCAACTCTGTTGGGACAGACTCCTTCAGGATTTTAAGACTAAATCTCTATAGGAGCAGTCTCATTTTGCTCCTGTGGAAAGGCTGGTGGATTTGAACTGCGAATTCTATGGTTAGCAGCTTAGTGTTGAATTCACAGTGCTACTAGAGTTCCTTGAGGTAGAAGTCTCTCTCTCCATGCCATTGAAATGATTATAGCAACCCTGTAGGACAGAGTCGAACTGTCCCTTTGGGCTTCCAGGGGTGTCAGTCTTTATGGGAGCGCAAGTTTTCATCTTTCTCCTGTAAAGTTGTTGGTGGATTGGAACCGTCAACTTTGGGGCTGTCAGCCCAATACCTAACCCACAGTGCCATCAGGGCTTCTTGAGATAGGAATAGGCTTGGCAAATTCAAGGAGTGGCTAGAAGACCGGTGAGATGAAGTTGGGGGAAGGCAGGACCACATTACCTGGGCCTTTGCATTTGTGGTACACGTTGGCTTTCCATTCATGCATCACAGAAACCCATCAGACAGCGTTAAATGGGGTGACACAATCAGATGCTCTAATAGAAATAGCAGACCATTTACCGAGCATTTACTACATGCCCCAAACTCACCTGTTTCAGCTCCCATAAGTCGTATGAGTTGGAAACGATTCAATCTACCTTCCAGATGAGGAATCTGAGACCTGAAGAGGCCAGGGAACCTGTCCAAGGTCACAGCTAGGAGATGAAGTGCCAGAATTCAAACCCAGGCCACTTAGCTGGAGCCCGATCTTGACTGCTGGCTGTGCTGCATCTAGAAGGCTCCTTAGGCTGCTGGGTGCACAATGGGGGCCCGAGGGGAACCTGGGAGGCTGGTAGCAGATGGGAGCCCTCTGCAGTGGTCTCTCCAGCTGCCAGTCCCTTTCAGACCATGCCTCTCCCTGCCAAGACCCATCCTACCGCCTGTGCCTTTGCTTTGCAGAAGGACAAGTTCTGTGTGTACGAGGAATACTGCAGCAACCACGAGAAGGCCCTGCGGCTGCTGGTGGAGCTGAACAAGATTCCCACTGTGCGTGCCTTCCTCCTGGTATGTGCCCCCCCCACACCTGCCTTTCCCTCCCCCCAACACACGTACTCTGCACCCCTTTGATATCTAGGACTCTAGCCTCCGGACTCCCTGGATACAACAGAGCCCCATTGGACCCTGCTGCCCGATCCCGCCTGAGCGGAAGTAAGCTCTTGTCTGAGCAGGGATCTGCAGACGCTTTCTATAATGGAATAGATGGTGGGTACTTAGGGCTTTGTGATCCCCACAGTCCTGTCCCTGTCACAACAACTCAGCTCTATCCTTAGAGCACAAAAGCGGTCGTAGACAACATGCAAAGCTGTGAGCATGTCTGTGTTCCAATAAAACTTTATTTATAAAAACAGGTGGCGGACAAGCTGTGGCCCTAGAGCTGAGCTTATCAATTCCTGGTCTAAAGTAATGCTCCTCATCATCCTTCTAGTTCCCGAATACTTCCTTCCCCCGCCCCCCCACTACCATGACCCAGTCCTTACAAAGTGGGCTAGACTGGAGTACACATATTGGTACAGATAGGAGCTCTTGACACATGGAATTCAGGCCTCATGAGATTAAGAGGATGGGGGGTGGGGGTAGTGACAGCATGAGGGTAGTGCAGGTGTGGGGCCAGGTGGGGGGCGTGGAGAAAGGGGAATCCATCACAAGGTTAGATATATAGCTCACCCCCAAGGGGATGAATGACAGAAATGTGGGCAAGGGAAACAATGGACAGTGTAAGATATGAATTAACAACAATAATATATAATTGATCAAGGATTCATGAAGGTGGGAGGGCAGGGGAGGGAGGGGGGAAAAAGAGGAGCTGATACCAAGGGCTCAAGTAGAAAGAAAAGGTTTTGGAAATGTTGATGGCAACACATGTACAAGTGTGCTTGATACAATTGAATGATGGGTTGTCATAAGATTTGTAAGAACCTCCCCCAATAAAATGGTTCATAAAAAACAAACAAACAAACAAACAAGCAAAAATAAAGTAATGCTCCCACAGAGAGTGGTGGCAGTGGTAGTGATAACGGTATTTGTTGGGATTGTTGAATAGTCTGCAAAAGAAAGTCCACGTAAAACTGGCCTCGGCAGAAGACGGAATGGGCTCCTTCACTTTCCTGGGAAGTTACGATGGGAGAGAGCTTCAGGCCTGGCAGAATCTAGGTGTTCAGATGGTATTTTCCCAAGGAAGTCTTCTCTCGCCTCCCTTGGCTCTGTTCCCAGGTGGTAGCAGCATGGCCTCTAGTCACCCCAGTACCCCTTTCCACTCAAACGCAAATCTCACCGCCGTCGAGTTGATTCCAGCTGGTGGGGACCCTACAGGACAGGGAAAACTGCCCCTCTGGGTTTCTGAACTGCTGACCTTGTGGTTAGCTGCTCAGCACATCATCAGTGTGCCACCACAGTGTAGATCCTAAAGCAAATGCTCTCTGAACCAGTGCCTGTAGACAGGCCGTTCTCTGGCCACCTCTGGGCTGAGTGAGGGTAGGGGGTAGGGTGGGGTGGGTGGTTAGTTTCTCTCCTACCTGAAGGGTAGAAGGTGGGGAAACGGACACTAGGACCCACTGAAAATTCTGGCAGAAGAGTCACTGGAGGACTGCTCCTAGCCTTTGTCATGGGTGAGTCTGATGACTGCTCTCGGGGGACACACTTCATTAAGCGATTATGCTTATTTTAGCTTTGGATCCCACCCCACCCTCCACAAAGGTGCTGGTTTTTTTTTTTTTCCTTTCAAACTATTTTATTAGGACATAATCCAGACACCATACCATTCAGTAGTTCAGTCATCAAGCAGTGTTGTAGAATTGCTACCACAGTCGTTTTCAAAACATTTATCTTCTACTTCTAAGCCAGACACCCTTCTTTATACCGCGTGCTTTCCCGGCAGCTCACAGGGAGTTGTGCACACAGCGGTGGCACGGTGAACTGATGGAGTGTCGTGCGTGCTAGCCACCTGCCCTGAGAGCTAACCTGTGTACTAGGTCCTCAGTTGCACGTCTGTCTGCACAGCCTCTGTTACAGATAGGATTGAGTCTCTCCGCTTCACCTTCCTTTCCCCCCAAATATGTGTCCGCTTAGCCATGATTCTCAGCATTATGCCATTATCTTAGGTGTTGCAAATCCTAACCTCTATGATGTTAATGAGGCAGGATTAGAGGGAATTATACTAATAAGGCAGGGAGGGTATAATCTGCAGGATAGGCTGTAGCATGGGTCCATCTCTTGAAATATTAAAGAGATTAAGCAGTAAATGAGCAAGCAGAGATCAGAGGGATCTACAACCACTAAGAAAGAGGAGCTAAGAGTGAGCACATCCTTTGGACCCAGGGTCTCTTTACTGAGAACCTCCTTGACCAGTGGTTCTCAACTTGTGGGTCACGACCCCTTTGGGGGCCAAACGGCCCTATCTCAGGGGTTGCCTGATTCATAACAGTAGCAAAGTGATAGTGATGAAGTGGCACCGAAAATGATTTTATGGTTGGGGGAGTCACCACATGAAGAACTGTATGAAAGGGTCACGGCATCAGGAAGGTTGAGAACACTGCACTAGACCCTGGGGAATGTTGGTGTGCCCAGGCACATGGAGATTTCCAGGGGACACCAGGCCCACAGATGTTGAAAAGAGACAAAGATGTTCCCCGAGAGATGGCAGAGACAGGATGTCTTCGCCTCGGGCTGTGCCCTGCGTTCAGATGTCTAGCCTCCTGCACACAGAGAGAATGCATTTCAGTGTATTCAAGTCCCTGCTAGTGGGATTTCTGTTAGAGCAGCACTGTTGGACCGAGACAGTCTCTAACAAAGTATGCCCATTGTGCCCATTTCCTTCACAAGCGAGTTCTGGCTCCCGGCTCAGTTCCAAGGGGAGCCAGATGAAGGGGGAACTTCCTAATAGGTTTCCGTGTTTGTCTCCAGCCCTTTAAGCTTCAGAATGGATGGTTTTTATTGATGGTGTCGGTACCTTCACACTTTTTCACATCTAGTCACAAAACTGCACAAAATGCAACGAGAGCCAAGCCCTCACCTGGACAGAGATGACCAAGTTGCTGCCACCCACTTGCTGAGCTGGCGGCAGCAGCATGACCCTGCCCAGGCACTGGGGTCTGGGCTAAGGTTTCCACCCTCCAGGGTTGGTTCCCAGGGCTCTTCTGGTCCCTGGAAGCAAAAAGAAGCCAGAAGGGTGTGTGCTGGACCCAGTGAAGCAAAGAACCCAAACTTTTTTTTCCCTCCCTCCCTCCCTCTCTCGCTCTCATCTGCAGTCTTCCTGGTGGGCAAAGGGCTTTTCACTTTGAGTGGCAGGGTTGGGCCCAGCTGGACAGGGGAGGCAGTCGGACATCATCTGTCTCCCTCCTTGCCAGCATCTCCCGGTTTGGGCCATGTGAGGATGAGCTGCTGCCAATCTCTTATGGGATGTTCCAGCTTTGGGGACAATGTTACGGCTTTGGGGACAGGCAGAATCCCGTTTTTCACTCATGATGTGCTGAGCCCTCACTGAGCAATGGGGTGGCCCTTCATCTTTCTGGGCTTCCACCTGTGGACAGTGGGGCAAATGTCTCCATGGAAGAGCCTTTTCCTGGGCACCTCCCCGGAGGTGTGGGCATCATTCCAAGCCCCGGGGACACAGCGGTGAGAGCAAGGTCTGGAAAACCCTGACTTCCCTGGGGTAGTCCTTCCTTCCGGGGGAGGGGACTCAGAAATCAGGTCCAGCGGTGGTCTGCTCTCTGGAGGAGATCCAGGACACAAAGGAAGAAAGCAGGTGTGGAGGGACAGCTGCTATTTTAGATTTAGTGTTTCTTAACAGCCATTTCGGAGGGTCCGTTTGAGAAAGTGAGAGAGCAGGTGCGGGCGCCAGGAGGGCCAGCCTTCCAGATAGAGGAACAGTGCGTGCAAAGGCCCTGAGGTCGGAGCACATCTGGATGGCGTCCAGGAAGAGCAAGGAGTGGCACACATGGGGGGCAGCATTTGGAAAGCGAGGAGGCGGAGAGCTGAGAGAAGCCCGAGGGTGAAGAGACATTCGGGAAATGGACCAAATCCCAGCCTTTCAGACACTTCAGTTAGTAGCGCATAGCACACATGCAGCCAGTGCCCGCTCCCGGGCACTCCCGTGCAGCCGCCACCAGGACCAGGACCGGGCCTTAGGAGATTCCCTCAGACCCTCTGCCTCAGAGGCAGCCAGGGTACACTCTCCTCCTCTCATCTGGAATCTCAGCACGCTTCCCTTGCTCAACGCAGAGCCAGCAGGCCTGAGGTGTGGTGTGTTAGAGCCTCTAACATCCACGGGGGCTGTCGGGGCAGTTATGTGGTAATAATATAGAGAGAACATGGTAAAGTCATAGACAGTAGGAGAGGAGAGAGAGTCAAATAAAGGAGTCAGACACCAAATGGATGAATAAGCAAATGTGACAAAGAAAGCTGATGGTGCCCGGCTATCAGAAGATATAGTGTCGGGGTCTTAAAGGCTTGAAGGTAAATAAGTGGCCATCTAGCTCAGAAGCAACAAAGCCCGGGGTTGTACAACAGGCATACGCATGACAGGAAGGGGATGAGCTAGGGCTGTACACACAATAGGAAGGGAGGAACTAGGGGTACACATGTGACCAGATGGGCAGACCCTACACTCAAGATGACAGCTTAAGCTTGGGCATCTTTGAGGGAGCTTGACCTTGACCGGGCTCTCCTTCAGGAGAAGAATCCACTACCCTTCTGAGAAGGGAGTGGACCCTACTTAGGGTGGGACAGACTAGATTGCTCTAGATGGCTGATAAGACAAGCCAGTCAGGGTGCGATGTAACAACGATGAAAAATACAACTTTCCTCTAGTTCCTAAATGTTTCCTCCCCACTCCCACTACCATGACTTGAATTCAACCTTGCAAGTCTGGCTAGACCAGAGGATGGACACTGGTACAGATAGGAACTGGAAATACAGGAATCCAGGGCGGATGAGCCCTACAGGACCAGTGGTGTGAGTGGCGAAATGGGGAGGTTAGAGGGAGAGTGGATAGGAAAGAGGGAACCGATTACAAGGAACTATATGTGACCTCCTCCCTGGGGGACAGACAACCGAAAAGTGGGTGAAGGGGGACGTCGGACAGGGCAAGATATGACAAAATACCAATTTATAAACTATCAAGGGCTCGTGAGGGAGGGGTGAGCGGGGAGGGAGAGGAAAAATGAGGACCTAATGTCGGAGGCTTAAGTGGAGAGGAAATATTTTGAGAATGATGAGGGCAATGAATGTACAAATGTGCTTTACACAATTGATGTATGTATAGATTGTGATAAGAGTTGTATGAGCCCCTAATAAAATGATTAAAAAAAAACAAAACAACCCTTAGGGAGAAGAACCTCTGACCTGCTTGCAATGACCTCCAAGTGTATAGTCATTTACCATGTGTAGCCAGTGCCTTAGGTATCGCATATATTTGGGGTAGACACCTGGGGAGAAGCCTCTTTATAGCCCACAGTGGTGGGGCCCATGGCAGCGGTTTCCAGAACATCCGGTTTTATTCTGAGTGGGATGGAACACCACCGGAGGGCTTGAGCCAGCCTGGCTACATTACCTCTTGAGGCCACCCTGGATGCCGGGAGTCCAGGTGGGACATTCGGGGGACTCAGTGGGAGGTTGGATGAACATCGGGTCGGCCTGCACAGTGCCGTGGCTGGCCAGATTCTTGGCTTTGGGCTCTAACTGAAGAACGGAGCTGGGTCTCCTGAGCTGGAGGTGGCGGGGTGAGAGGTACTGGTGTGGGTGAGAGGTACTGAACGCGTTCTGTGTTGCATGTTTTGAGGGTTCAGTGCCTGGTAGGTGGCTCGGTGGGTGTACCCGGCAGGCCGTTGGAGATTGGAAGCTGGGGTTCAGGGTCAGGGGCCAGACTAGATAAATCAATTTGAGTGTCTTCAGCATATAGGTGGTGCTTAAAGCCTCAAGTCTGCAGGAGACTAGCCAGAGCGAGCCAGAGTGGACAGAAAGGCGGCTTCCTTTCCCCACCTTGCCCAAGGGCTGCCGCCATCCAGAGACTGGGAAGTCTAGGAGATCAGACCTCACCGGAGTGACCTTGGAGCAAAGGAATGGGCTGCCAGCTGAAAGAGTGGGGGTTCAAAACTCACCAACTGCTCCAAGACGAGGCTGTCTGCTTCGGTAGAGATCGCGGCCTTGGCAAGCAGCTGCGTCTCCACGCTGCCCTGTGGCCTCCCCATGAATTGGAATCAGCTGGACGACTGTGGGGCTCATGGGAGGAAGATGAGAATTCAGGGGCTCTGTTGGAATAGTGGGTTCAGCTTGGGCCCATTAACCAAAAGTAGCTGCTCCGTGGGAGAAAGAGGTGGCCCTTTGCTGCCGTGAAGGTTTCCAGTCTTGGAAACACCAGGGAGCAGCTCAGCTCTGGTGTGAAGGTTTGCTACAAGTCAATGGCAGTGGCCTTGTGTTGAAAGGAGACAGCTAAGAAGCCCAGGAGAAGGGTGGGGCTTTCCACTTCTGTGACCAGCTGCGGTCTCAGCAACGTGCCGGGGCAGTTCTGCCCTGTCCTGACCTGTAGGGCTGCCGGAGTCGGCATGGACTCGATGGCGGTGAGGTCTCTCTCTCTTTTCCTAACCAAGGAGCCCTGGTGACCCATGGTTAGAAGCTCGGCTGCTAACTGAGAGGTTGGTGGTGCACACCCACCCCAGGGCCTGCGGAAGGAAGACCTGGTGATCCGCCCCCTGAAGATGACAGCTGAGGGAACTCATGTCACAGGGTGTTGCTGTGAGTTCCCAGTGGGCTCGGTGGCACCCAGGTACAACAAGGGAGATGACTCCGTGTGCCTGGTGGCCAGGTAAGAAGAGAATAGGGGTGAAAGGGTTAGGCATGTTTCCTTTTTTGAAAATGAAAACGAAGTGGACCAACAATCTCAAATCATTGAGGACAAAGGTAGTTGTGGCTGTGCCCATCTGTGCAGACTCCTGGTTTCTGAACAAAGAGCGAGACCCTTCTCCCACCATATGTCCCTTTTGCCTTCTGGAGAGAGGCCCTCCTGCCCGTCCCGTCCCCCCCCCAGGCTCGTCTCTCTTTGCTCTGAGCTGACATCACCAGGGTAGCTGGTGGCAAGTGCTGGCTTGGAGGACAAAGGCCTGCATGTAAGTGACTTGGGCCCTGGCATCTCCCAGCTGCTGCTGCGGCTTTGGGAGCCCCTCTACCCTAATCTGTGCCAGGAATAGATACGGGGTTGGATAGACACGGAGTCCGGAGTTCTGGTCAATGCAGGCGGCCTACCTAGATCTCTGCCCGGCACAGAGCGGCTCCATTTGAAGATTCCCACTTCCCTTCTTGTTCCTCTCCCTCCACGGAGCAGTCCTCTTCTGGGTTCGGTGCATTTCCTGCCTTGGCATCTTTTCGTATTTTCCTACCTACATGTCCCCCATCAACGGACTGCATGGATTCACTTGCACATTTTAATGGCGGTCTACATGGGCTCAGATGAAACACGCCAGGAGGCCCTGGTGGTGTCACAGAGCTCGGCTGCTACCCTTCGTTTGGTAGTTCCCCGCCACCCCCAGCAGTTCCGAGGGAGAAAGGCCTGGCAAGCTGTGTCTAAAGCACGTGTGGCCCAGAACCCTCATGGGACAGCTCTACTTTGTCAGGTCAACCAGCACCGCTGCCACTGAGTCCCTTCTGACTCATAACAATCTATAGGGTTTCTGAGACAACAAGTCTTTAAGGGAGCAGGCAGCCTCATCTTTCTCCCAAGGAGTAGCTGGTGGATTTGAACCACCGATCTTGTGGTTAAGTAGACCAAGCCTTATCCCACAGGGCCTCTGGGCTCCTTTGTTTGCCCAGGTGTGTGTGAGGCTCATCCCTGCTGCCAGGGGTCACTCGGTTCCCGAGTTGGGTAGTCTGCTTCAGACAGATCCTCCATTCTCCAGTGGGTGGAGTTCTAGGCTGTGTCCCAGTCCCGGCTGCATTGCCTGTCCCCTGACCCCTGGTGCATGTTCATGAGCTTTTCAGACTTTCCTACAGAAGACTGGTGAGTGGCTAGTTCACGCTTTGCAGCCATATGGTCTGTGTTGTAAGTGCTCAGCTCTGCCTTTGCTGCTGGAAGCCGACGCAGGCCTGGTGTGAGCTGAGGTGCTCGCCTGAGCTCCAGTAGAACTTAAATGACAGAAGCAGGCAGTGGGTGCGATTGGGCCTGCTAGCATACCTTGCCAACCCATTCTAGGCTGCGTGCTGGATTGCTCCCTTAGCCTGTCACCGGCTGCTGGCAAGTCCATCCTGACCCCTGGCCAGCCCTCTGAACTGTGCTCCACGGGGTTCCCAGTGGCCCACTTGGTAGACATCGCTTGTCAGGCCTACCCTCCAAGGCACCTCCAGGCAGACGCCAGCCTCCAGCCTCCTGGCTAGCAGCTGAGTGCGGTGTTCCCTGTTTGCACCCCACGGAGACTCAGCTTGCCTTGTGCCTGAGCCCTCAGTTGCTGCCCAGTTGATTGTGCCTGCAGGTGACCGTGTGCCAAGCAGAACTGTGAGCATGTTGTTGGGGGTTGAAGGCTGTGACTGTTTCTTTTTCTAGATCATTTTATTGGGGGGCTCTTAGAACTCCTGTTACAATCCATACATCAATTGTATCTGACATATTCGTGCACATATTCCATCGTTCTTTTCTAGACATTTACTTTCCATTGAGCCCTTGGGATCAGCTCCTCCCTCCCCCCACCCCTCCAACCCTCATGGCCCCTAAATAGATTATAGATTGTTAATTATTTTCAAATTTCACACAGACCACTGTCTCCCTTCCCTTCTGGTTTCTGTTGTTCTTCCCCCTGGATGGGGGTGTGTGGTTATGTGCCATTCATTGCGATCGGTGCCCCCCTTCCTCCCCCACTCTCCCTGCCTTCCCCCTGCCCTTTTGGCATCTCTATTCCCAATCCTGTTCCCGGGTTCCATGTGTTGTGAGTTTTACCTCTTGCCTGTACCTGTGTACATGCTCCCGTCTAGTCCAGAGTGGGAGGTGGCACTGAGGTTGTGATAGCGGGGCGGTGGTGAGGAGGCCTCCAGGACCAGAGGGTATATTGCGTGACCCATTCGTGCTCGACTGCACCCTGATGGACGCATCCCCTCCCTGCGACCCCTCTGTGGGGGGATGCTCCATTGTCCACAAATGGGCTCTGGATTTCCTCCGTCAGGCCTTGCTTCCAAGGTATCTCTAGCTAGGTTTGCACTGCCCACCTCTATTCGTCCAGGGCTCAACCACGCGCACCCCGCCCACAGACTCCCTCAGCTGCTGGGCAAACCAGAGAGCCACACCGAGCGGCACTGAATCGATTCCCATGCACACCGACCTCCTAGGACAGAATGGGAGGCCTGATCTCTGGGGCTTCTGAGGCTGAAATCTTTACAGATGCAGACTGCCACATCTTTCTCCTGAGAAGCGGCCTCTGGGTTCAAACCCCTGACCTTTCAGTTCGAAGCCCAGTTCTTAACCTCTGCACCACAGGGCTCCTTTCAGCCCCAGTGGAGTCCTGGTTACAAGTTGGGCTAACCCCGAGTTCAGCAGTTTGAAACCCCCGGAAGGAAGATGGGACTTTTTGTTCCTCTAAGGAGTGACAGCCTCCGAACCTCACAGGAGGTACTTCCACCCTGTCTGCCAGGGTTGCCGTGAATCAGAATGGACTCCACGACTGTTCGGTTTGGTTTTGAGCTGTTGCTAAATGGCCTCTACTGTGATTTTCTGCAGCTGGATTCTCAGTGCTTCCCATGGTGCTTTGAGAGTGGCCTAGTCTCCCCGCCCCGCGTTTCCCAGTCAGTTTTAATGACTGCCTTCTGTCCCTTTGCAGAGCTGCATGCTGCTGGGAGGCCGGAAGACCACGGACATCCCTCTGGAAGGCTACTTGCTGTCTCCCATCCAGAGGATCTGCAAGTATCCGCTCCTCCTCAAGGTGAGCCGCTTGCCCACTCCTCTGTGTTCCAAGTGGCAGCAAGCCCAGGTCGGACCGGTTCACTTAGCATAACACCTGTTAGTGAGAGTGTCTGCAAAACCTCGGTACAGTGTCAGGGCTGGACCTGGCTGGACACAGGGTTCCGGTGAAGCCCCAGGTCCCTGTTTCTTGCTCGTACCTTCAGCTATACTGTCTGCTGTAGTAGCAGCAGATGGCTCTAAGCCCGCGGCTCTCATCCTGTGGGTCGCCTGATTCATAACGGTAGCAAAATGATGGTGATGGAGTAGCAATGAAAATAATTCTATGTTTGGGGAGCGGCGGTCACCATAACATGAGGAACTGTATGAAAGGGGCGCGGCATTAGGGAGGTTGAGAACTGCTGCTCTCGGCTCTGACCCACAAGGTCTCCTGTGTAAGGTCAGCAGGAAAGTGTAGATCAATCTAGTGGTTCTGAGAGTCTGGGGACTTTCATCCCAGGCTCTGCTCAAGAAAACCTGATGTTCAGAATGGTTTGCACACCTTAATTCTGAACCAGTCCTGTGAGCTGACCCATGCTAGGCTTTGATTGGTTGAGCTACGGGCAGGTCCTCCACTTCTGATCAATGGCGATGAGCTGAGTAATTGTGTGCTCTTACTGGCTAAGATCCGGGTTGGGTGCTTCACCCTGAATCAATCCGTCTGAGCAAGGTCCCATCTCACTTGGTCAT